AAATGGGAGATAAGTTTGAAAACTTGCTCTTTGACATATGTATTTGCTGGTTTAGGCAGAGAAAAATACTGATCAGATTTTCAATTATTGGAATTACTCTTTTTAAAGTGGAGAACTAAAAAACTTTCCATAACAATGCCTAAAACATAGGTTAAAATGCCTAATTATTGTTTTGCCTAATGATAAACTGGTTCTCAAAGTTGACTTACTCAGCCAAGACATTTTAAGGGTAACTTCTCTGTGAAAGGGAAATTGTGAAAGTTTTCATTAGTGAATTACATTTCACTTTTAATTCTGTGCAATAAGATTGCAACAGAATTAAAGTGTGAGAGCTGTGAAGAGTTTTTATCAACAATAAAATTTTGAACACTTAATTCAACTACACAAAATTAAAGTCTATGTAATTTGTTATTTTTCCTCCTTCAAAAAGGCCCTTCAACTATTGTTTTCCTAAGACAATAGAAGAGACAGCCTTATATTTCACATGTTGCAAGTCCTTTAGCCTTTCGTTAATTTAATAATAAAATTCATATTATTTTATTATTAATAAATATTAAATAAATATTTAACAAGATTAAAATCTTTAATTCTTCTTTAATTCTGTTAAATAACAGACTTTCTACCAGCAGTCATCTGAAATGTTACAGTGTGCTATCTCTTTAATAGTATTCTGGTCATCTTGTCTTAGCGATTATATTATAAAAATTTCAAAACAACAAGAAAACAGTTTCAATTTGTGTGCTCATTTTTCAGTGGATTCAGGTTCTGAAAATATGCTGACACCAGAACAGAAATTACTGTACCATATATATTCAGGTCAGCTCAAGTTTTGAAATAAATAAATTTAGTGGAGCAAAAATCCTGCACTCTTAATCCAGCTATGACTAAATGAAGAGTCAGAGAAGAAAAACATTTTTTTTTTTTTTTTTTTTTGCTGATAACAAGTAATTAAAATATTTAAAAATTTCATTAATTCACTCTTCTCCTAAGTGGCCTGAGGTGATCTATGAAAAAGGTTTGTTATTCACTTGACCCAGAAAACTCTACAAAATCATGCAAACCAAGAGGTTCAAATCTTTGTGTTCATTTTAAGAACACTCATGAGTCTGGCCAGGCCATCAAGGGTATACTTATATAAAAAGCCACTAAATATGTCACTTTATAGAAACAGTGTTCACTATTCTGATGTTACAAGGATGGAGTTGATAGCTGTGTCCAGGACAAACAGTGGGGTTGGACACAGGGTCAGTGGTCCAAAAAGAGTGCTGAATTTTTGCTGCACGTGCTTTAAAATGCAGAGTTATGCTAAGTGAACCTAAGGTTGTAGCAGAGATTCTCTGGTCATCGAGCATATCCAGGTGAACAAAGCACTCAGGGTGCACCGTTGGACTTACAGAGCTCATGGTCTGATTAAATCCATGCATTAATTCCCCTGCCACACTGAGATGATCCTTACATAAAAGAAACAGATTGTTCCTAAACCAGAAGAGGAGGATCCACTGGAGAAAAAGATATCCCAGAAGAAACTGTAGCAACAAAAACTTATGGTGTGAGAATAATAAAATAAAATACATGCAAACAAAAGTTAAAAAGAAAAAAAGAAATCTTGTTAATTTTTTTTTTTTTTTTTTTTTAGACAGTTTCAGGCTGGAGTGCAGTGGCACGATCTCGGCTCACTGCAACCTCCCTCTCCCGGGTTCAAGTGATTCTCATGCCTCAACCTTCCGAGTAGCTGAGATTACAGGTGTGTGCCACCACACTTGGCTAATTTTTGTATTTTTAGCAGAGATGGGGATTCAGCATTTTGGCCAGGCTGGTCTCTAACTCCTGACCTCAGGTGATCCACCCACCTCTGCCTTCCAAAGTGCTCAGATTACAGAGGTAAGCCACCGTGCCTGGCTGAAATCTTAATTCATTCAACGTAATCTCTGCTGTCATTTTTCTAAGTGCTTGGCATAATCAGTGAAAGAAGCAGAGAGAATCCTGGTTTGTTTATAAACATTTTCAAGTTAAAACCCTTCAAAGTTAAAGAATTTTCTCTTAACGATGGGCTGCTTTAGATACTATCAGAGACCTTTGGAGGACTATTTTTCTCTCCAGTTAGAAAAAACTTTCTGGAAACAGTCAAGAAACACTGATTTAGATGCTCTTTAATTTCTCTGAGGACCTAGGTAGTTAATCTGAAAATCAGAAGGCTCTTAGGATGCGTGTGAAAGAAGTCAGTCGATAGAATTGGGTGACCTGACCTCCAGGGATATCTGTCTGGCACAGATCCATCTGGAGGCATCTCCTGTTCCCACAACAGAAGGAAGTAGCTGTGTGGCAGAAAGTTTGTGTTCTCAGAGCCTGGTCTTTCTCACTGGACAATAGTGGGTCAACACTGGATATTCTTGCTATTGGGGTTCCTTTTCCTGTGGTGCATGCAGCCCATCACCCCACCTGTAGCTGGAGCTCAGGATAGGTCGATTCCATTTCACTGCCTTTACTTATACTCACATGGCATTTCTTTCTCCATGAGACTGTATTTATTCTTACCAATGCAGTACAGGTGTTCCCTATGCTAATCTACTTCATATTTATAATGGCAATTTTGAGTAATTTTATAAGATATAAAAATCGTCCTACTCTTTAATTATGTGCCTATTTTTGATTTTAATTGAAGAAAAATATATTTTCTAATTTTTGTTTTTATTGTCAATTATATGAAAGTATAGATGGTTTATTTTATTTATTATATTATCAGGTAAAGTTTTAGGTTCTGGGGATAGAGTCACAAGAAAATGGCAATAAATGGAAAGTGGAGAGAAAAGAGAGGATCAGTCCCCACCTCATCATCTTTGTATCTTTTCCAGTCTCTCACAGTGAGGCCTCTGATGGTTTCCTATAATTTTTTTTCCTGAAAATATCCCAGATGAGGGCTCAAGCTGCATGGAGCCTCCATTTATTTCAGCTTAGTGGCGATTACTCTCCTAGTTGCCTACAAGAGGGTCCTCATTTGCCACTGTAGTCTTTTTAGGTTCCAACTTTAGTAAAGATGTGATGTGCTGGTAAAGACCTCTCAATTCCTATTTCCAATGGGCCTGCCTCCATACCTCAGGCTGTATCTCTTTTCCTACATGCTGGTCCCCAGGACCGGGATTCTTGATCTTGGATCTTGCATTTGCTATTTTTTTTTTCCCCCTAAACTCTTTATTTCTACCCTGGCCTCTGCAGAGTCAGGTCTCTGCCGTTTTAGGAAGAGATCTCCTTGAGGACAGACTGCGTGTCTGACCTTTGAGCGCCGTCCACCCTGGAGTCCTTGATGTAGTGCTCTTCCCAGCCCCTGAATCTGTCTGGGAAGTCAGGCAGGTTTGGCTTCAATTCTACTATCTAGAGATATTTTGGAAGAGGTTAGAGTGAACTGTGTACATATTTGAGTTTAGATTTCATAACACGCTCAACTTTACTGGAGTTCACTGCAGAAAAGGAGGGAAAGAAAAATGTTCTCGATGTATACAAATGCCACAGACAGTTGTTTTTACGCCTACTTTATTTGATAGCTTCTAATGGCTGAAGGAGATTTCAATATCAAGTAATTGTTTATCACAAATGTGCCTAAAAATAATTTTAAAGATCTTTGTAGGGAAGCAGAAACTCTTTGAAGTCCAGATGTTTTCTCAAGATAACTAAATCTGGTAAAATCACCTATGTAGAAATAAATAATATTTTATGGCCACATCTGCAAAATGAAATATTATCATCTTCATTGTCGATATAAAAACAAATGAAAGTTATGGGTAAGTTTTGATAAAATGAATTACACAAAGCATCATTTATATTTTTATATTTGGCTTTGGGACATAAGGCAATATGGAGAACTTATGTGACACACAAACACAAACACACACTCGCACACACACACAAACACACACAGAAACTCAAGTACTCCTCTCTGCCTCATTCTTATTCCTTTCTGAGATCAGCCCATAATATCAGTAATCCTCTGCTGAACTAAAATAATATTTTTGCTCCAAAAGTCTGCTAGGGAAAACATCTATTAATATATGTTTTTAAATCAAATATTTCCAGAAATGCTTAGAAGCCCCTTTAAATCTAGCAATGATAGCATAATAAAGGGTATATTCTAGGGAAGAAAATGCCCACCTAAAGTAGAAAGTTACCAGTTAAAAATCACAAAACATCAAAAAATATTTTCAAAGATTATTTCCATTTACCCAACAGGTTTTTCTATTTAAAAATTATAAAATATTTAAAAAGAGAAAACAGAACATTCAAATGATCTTAATTCAGTTTTACAATCAACGAGTTGGACTAGATGCTATTTTTTTTTTTCTCAGCTCTAACTATAACTTTAGTCAACATAAAAAGATGTTAAAATGTGTCCCACTGGTTCATTCAACTGTTAGTAGAAAAAAGTGGCTTAAAATTTTGAAGCCTGAAAGTATAGCCATTCTAATTTACAGACAACAAAGGCAAGTCCTAGGAAGAAAAGTGATCATTCAAGGGCATCCATCCATTCAGAGATCAATCAATGTCACTGTTTTCAAATCTGCCTGATCATCAATATTTTGCTTTGTTTTGTTTTACTTTATTAATGGCTCTGGAGTCCCCATTCCTACCCCTGGAAATTTTGCTTTAGTGATTATGGGGTGAGATCAGAAATTTCATTTTTTAAAAGAGATCCTCAATATCCTAAGGAAACACAGATCATACCAGACTACTTAGGAAACAGTGGTGGAGAGGAACAGATAGGTTGCACAGTCCTTGGGCAGGCTCTCCACTGTCACACAACAGCATTTTCCTAACACGTCCGTCATTTTATGACCCAGGGTTCCACTTTCCTGGTGTTTTCTCCCCTCTAGCTGGAAAGCATATTATAAGAGTGATATTACTTGGTGTCTAGTTTACTTTCCTTTGATACTCCTGTGGAAAAGGATCTTCCTGAAGGAAATAAGAATTAAAAGAGTAGATTTATAGACCTTAGTTATCATCCAATCCAAATCACTCTAGATCTTTAATTCCATTTAAGTTCCGAAACTGTCCTTACAGTAAAGTATGAATCTACACATCACCATGCTACAGTCTTGAGCCTTTCAAGGAGGTCTGCAATTTGAAAATTATTTTCTTTACCTCAGGTCATGGGGTACAACGAAGTGAATTTCTCTAAATGGTTCAAATACATCATAAGGAGATGGCTCTTGGAATACGTTTGGCATAAGAAGTTCTTAGTAAAAGAAAAGCTTAAATAGAATTAATATCTAATAACATAACATAATTGGTTTTACATAGTGACAGTAGAGAGCAAAGTTCCTTCTAAAATCTTCCATTTAGAATTCCAAGCCCCTCAACATTCATATTTCTGTCAGTTTTCAATATAGATTGTATGTGTTCGCTGTATGCAAACTGTAGCCAAAATATACATTTCTATTCCTGATGCTACTGTGGATGTCAAGGTTTAGTTTAAGCCTTTTTTTGTAGCAAATTATGAGAAGTATAATTCAGCTCTCAATGAAATATTATTCCTGATCTTCCTTGTTAGTAAAAAAGTAAATTATTAGTTTGTTATCTATTAATTTTACGGAAAAGTTTAGAAAAAAGAAGAAAATAATAAATGACTTACCTCTAAGTATGTATGACTCCATGTTAAAGCAGCTAAACTAAAAGCTTACCACAACTTTAAGAAAAACTAAAATTCAACATAATTCAGTTTCTTTTTGCATCCCATTTAGGAAATGTTTGTCACTGAGGCTGACAAAATAAATTCATTATTTAGTCATGTCATTTATAATGCAGTCTCATGATACTGTCTCTGAGGATCAAATGTTCAGTTAAAGCCATACTAGACTACCAAATAATATATAAAACTTTATGAACATTTTATGCTTGCTTTACAAGGCTGATCTATTAAACTTGTGACATTTTTATTTAAAAAGAATAAACAAGGATATCAATGGTATTATTTTATCCTTATATGGTTTTATGTGTGCCATAATCTACCAATGTTAGATGTGTGCATAATTCTTCTTTTTCAATGTAGCTGGGGGCCAAGGAAGTGGTTAATTAATATTTGTACTGCAAATGCCTTAAGTGGATACCTATTAAAAGGTATACAAAATATAAACAGTACTGTATATTTTCAAAACTTTTAAATAAACACAAAGAATATATAGGTATACATGTTATAATTTCAAAGTCAACACTAGCACATAAGTTTTTCCTATCTAAATACATACTAGGATACTTCCTATTTCAACACATGCACCTACAAACACATGGCCATGCACATAACCTTACTTTCTGCCACTTGCAAGAAAGAATATACAATATTGTACATTGTTTCAACTTATATCATATTGGAAAATTAATGAGGATGGTATTAAAAAATTCTGACCTAAGAAATCAAAATACAGGAAGATAATTATTCCTTAGATTAAAAACACTGAAGACTGATGGAAAGTTAAGATTTAAATTGCTTGTCGGAAGAGAACAGGTCTGCCTGTAAACGCTCAGAATGCTCTGTTTGACAAGTGGACTAGAACTTCTGCAATATAGCAGTCCAGGCCAAAGACTTAAGCCATTGATGCTTCGGATCGCAGAGAAATGGTATAGTTGTGGGTAGATCTTCGCAACGCAGGGGGTGCAGATGGAGATCTGGATGCCCATCTGGAGGGGAGACGACGATTTGCTGGTCTAGCAGGTCGGGAAAATCCTTTTCCATGTGAGGCGTTCACTGACATGGATTCCTAGGACGCAAGTGAAAACATTCCTCACTCTCTGGCCACCAACAATAGGCTTCATATATGATGAGCTCAACTGTAACATTAGTCTGTTAGTAAATTTACAAGAAAGAAAAAGTATTGAAAACTAAAGAAGGTACTTGTCTAATATTTGTGGTTTTGAATGCTTTAAAGCAATTCAATTTTAATACGGAATATGCCATTTGATAATCTTGTCCCTTTCCTCACACTGACAAATTTTAATACAGTTAATCTCTTTGTAGAACTAATGGATTTAAAATTTCAAGTTAAGTAACTTGAATATCATGGAAATACAGATGTTTCTTAGTGGGCGATGAGGAGGTTACAGTGTTACTTACAAATAAAAAGATAATTTATAGAAGAAACCATTCATGTCAAGTTATTGACACTTTTAGAGGTGATAAGCAAAAGGCACACAAACCAAATGATTAATCTGATGCTTTTTTCCACTCGCACTATCAAAACCTTAAAATTATCATTAAAATGCTTTTAAATACATCTTCATTCTAATTACTAATACAAAATTCCTATCTCTTGGGCATGTTCTGATGGGAGAGAACCTTTTCCTTCACTTTTCTTCTTTTTCTTTTATTTCCTTCCTTCTTTCCTTTTATTTTAATGGAAAAAAAAGCCTTCCTTGGTCCTTAAAATTAAAACGAAAGTACAAAGCTTCCATGACACACTTTATACACTTGGTTCTTATTGACCCTTCTTAGACCCCACAAAGCCTGTGCTCTTTCATATGAGCTAGGCAGTGAGGATGGCCTCCTATTTTTACTATTTTAGCCATGGTCTGACAGTAACCTGCAGTTTCTTTTTCTTTTTGGAGACCTATTTTTTAGATTTGTTCCTACAGGAGGAAGAACAAAAAATGAAAACAAAAGCTGCTCCTAAGGATCTCGAGTAGAGGAGCTCCCTGCCAAACTCCCAACGAATGCAAAAAGGGAAATCATTTAGTATTATTTCTTGTTAGTTAATGAGAATTTTGTTTGGTTATCGTACAGATATATGTATTTCCCATCTTTAGCTACAGGACCTTGCAGGCATTGATGGGCTCAACTAAAAAGCAGAGAAATACAAAAGCAGAATATTTTTTGCACCTTATAAAGACAGGCAAGATTTCTCATAAGATGGATGAAAACTGATATTTTTGCAGAATTTGAAATCCACATAGTAATTTTTTACACCAGAAGGAAGCAACTTGCACAATAGTTTAAAACCATGCTGCATACCCACTGCATTCTATGAAACTAGGAGTGTTGAAGTATTGGTTAATAATAACAATATGTCACCTCATAACTTTTTGTTAGGTTCTTAAACATTATATGAGTAAAAGAGAGTGTTGTATAACTCTTCTTTGTAAATACCAATTTCTTCGACTTCTTTTTCTCCTATAACTGATGAATATTAAACTCTCATAAATAGACAGGAACAAAAAAGATAACAGTTTACTTAAAATGTCCATTTGAGTGGGGTTTTTTTGGTCAATTTCTATGCTAAGAATACATAGAAATAAGAATAACCTTATTTATATATACTATCTTTTAGTTCCACAGATAAGAGGACTCTATTAGGCACTGTTAAATGATGTGTATTTCTCATATTCATATTAATGTGACTAATCCTATGAGAAAGAACATGAGTCAAATGCTGAGAATGACTGAACCAATCATAGTTAATAACTGAAAAGTGAAAATGATTTTTAAAATATTTTCCACACACTTAAAAAGAACCTTTAAAAGAATGAAATTCTACAAATCAAGAAATGTCCATTCTGAATATTTTTTCAAGAAAGAACAAACATTTGATCTTCTTCAGTTTCCTAAATCCACTTACTGTATTTATGTTATCTCATTTCAGAATTTTTCAAAAGTTACAATGTACTATTCTCAGTCTTAAAAACTACACCTTCAAGGTTCGTGTTGAGTTATATTTATTTACAAACAGGGTCAAGAGGCTAAGAAGAGTCCAAAACTTGTGCCCCCATTCTGTTTATATGAATGGCACATATGAACAGAATTCAGAGCCATTATTAATATGGATGCTACCAAATTATGTTATTTGCTTTCTCACCTCTGTTATCTTTTTCCGATCTATTCCTTGCTTCACTTCCTGTCCCCCCCACACAGCTGTCTTTTGCTGAAACTCTTGTTCCATTTGGAGCATTTCTAAATGCTGACTTAATGTGGCACCACCACTGACATCAGAATTACATTTGGTCCAGTTATCCCGGAAGCACGTAGAATTTTGCAGTGCAGACTCTGTTGCTGTCTCATAGGTTTTCAGCAGCTTTTCCACAACACCATAATTTGACCTGGGATCAGCTGACCTTGGACGGCCAGACAAATTACTCGGTCTCCAGTCATGCTCGTGGAGCATATTCCGATAACTGCGAGGACTTAGGTGTCCCTGCATTTGTCTTACTAGGCCTGTTGTGGATTTCTTGGTGGGATTATCAGGCACATTTTCCATGGGCACAGGCATGTGGGCATTGGTTTTCCAAATACCAGACACATCATTACTTTGTGATATGCTACCTGTGTGAGCAGATGAAGTATCACAGGGCTTGAGATCCTCCGATAATTTTGAGCAGCTTTGATTTTGCTGTATTGCCTGACAATTTCTATCTGTTCTAAATACAGTTCTGTTAAATTCATCAGTCTTTGCTGCCAACTTCTTGTTCCTTGTAGTCCTTTCAAAGCCACAGCTGAAGTTTCTAAGTGGGCTACTGCTGTCTGCCACTGAGGAGTTACAGTCATTACTTACATGAAGATCGGGATGAGATTTAGCAGGGTGATCTGGGATCACCATTTCATATTTTGGATTACTGGGGGTAGAGCAGGTTTTCTGAAACCATGAAGTAGAGGGGCTCCTTTTTGCACCTATCCCAATGTCATATGACCACATGCTAAGTCCAACATCCTCATTAGTTGAAGGCTTGCTATCTATTTTGACTTCTGGTACCAAAGAGGAAAAGATGATACCATCTTTCAAAGTTTTCCCTTCATTTGGATACAAAATAGACATCTCATGTTGTCTCAAAGGGAAGTGAGGGTTGTAATTCCTTTCACTTTGACCCTCATGGGGCACCCAGCTGTTGTGGTCTAACCTTTCCTTCCATCTTTCATAGGCTTGTTCAGAATCTGAGCTGGGAATATTTCGAGAGGTGCTTCTTGGAGGAGGAACTGGTGGAGTTTCATTTATTTTCAAATCGATTGTATCAATTCCACATTTTTTCGCAGAATTGCTCTGGAGCATATTGGTACAGCTCAGATTCTTCCTATTTTTCTGTTTTTCTTTTTCTAAACTACTTGGAAGAATGCACGGGTCATTGTTGATCATGGGGTCCCCATGAGGTATATCAGTTACATTTGGCATTTCCTGGAGAAAAGAATCTGACTTCATCCTAAACAACAATAAAACATGGTGTATTAGTTAAAACTTTATTTAGAATAAGCTCTCTACAGCAACCATGGCTAAAGCAATGAGTTTCTGCTATAATAAAAGGATTCACAACTCCCTCATACATCATTTTTATATAAACCTCCCAGTTAAAAACTTCAAGTCCTTTTATGGTAGAATGAAGTCTACCTTTCAGTGTTATATTCAATGCCCTACATACTCTGACTCAAACTCTTTCCAAACTCCTCTCTCATTTTCACTATTACCTGAGACTTCACCTACCCTGAGATTGAACTATGTAGTCTCCTGGGTTTCTGCTACTGGCATTTCCCTTTCTGTAGCTTTTATCTTGCCATTCCCTTACCTCCTCTCTGCCTGCTGAATTCTTATTCATTATGTAATGTGAGCTCAAGGTCTTCTCCTTGAATGTGAAATAACATTTTAAGTAGTCAGATAGAAATCTGAATAAAAGTGCAATGAGGCATGAGTAATTCCAAATGGAAAGTGTCATTTGGGCTTGAAAAAAAAGTAAAATTTTTTTGGATGACTTGAGTAAAAAGCATATAGGATTAAAGTAAAAGGCAAAAGGAGTAAATACTATGGCTATTCGAAGGAAAATGAGTACTTTGATATGGATGAATTATAAAGCAGAGTGGGGAGGATAATGAAAAATGAGAGAGAAACATCAGGTCATGCCCAATTGTAATGTCTCTGAATTACAAATATCTTGAACCTTGTTCTAAAGTCCATGGGGTGACAATAAGAACTTTATATTAGGTGTGATTTGTAAAAGAAAATTGTTAAGTCTTTTCTGGGTTATATTAAATAAGCTAAATATCACAATTCAAACTTAATCACACTGATAAATATAAATCATATTTATACCTCTTCAAATTATAAAAGATTATGGTATAGCTTACAATAAAATGTGGATAAATACCTATTAACAGAGAATAGAAACAAAACTAAATGGGCAAATAGAGGACAAAGTTATGTTTAAAACAAGACTGGCTAAAAAAATCTACTGTAAGTCAGCACAAAAATTCTTTCTGAGCTTCCTAACAACTAATGAAAAATAAGGGAATGCATTTGTGTAGCTTTCTAAATGAAGCATACTGCCCCATGAGGACAGATAAATGTTGATCCTAGAATAATCCATCTTTACTTAACTTGTAGAGAATTCCAATGTATTTGTTCATTTGGCTAAAACTTACTGTTGTAAGTATATATTGTTTCCAAATGGAAACAGCATTTTTTTGTGGCATGTGTACATGTGTACATGTGTACATATTTATAATATGTTGTTCTGAAAAGTATGTAGGCCTCCATTATATAAATACTAATTGAAGTAAAATAAAGTACTCTTAAGCATTAAATATTTTAGAACATGATTATATAAGCAAAATGCCACACTGTTAAATCTGACATCGTTCAATGATACGTTTAACTGAATTAGTCCAGTTGCACACTCTCATTGCTCAAATGCTCAGAATGAGAAAGAACTACTTTAGAGGTTACTTACTGATTTTTTTATAGAGGGTCTTCCTTAATTAAACACCAAAAACAGTAAAGTATTACTAATAGATTACAAAGGGAATTGGAAGATTTGCTTTAAGAATTAGTGAACAGAGAAATAGACAATTACAGTTTCTGGCCTGGTGTGGTGGCTCACGCCTATAATCCCAGCACTTTGGGAGGCTGAGGCAGGGGATTATTTGAGGTCAGGAGTTCGAGACCATGCTGGCCAACATGGTGAAATCCCGTCTCTATTAAAAATACAAGAAAACTAGCTAGGCATGGTGGTGTGTGCCTGTAGTCCCAGCTGCGTGGGAGGCTGAGGTAGGGGAATCGCTTGAACCTGGGAGGCAGAGGCTGCAGTGAGCTGAGATCACACCACTGCTCTCTAGCCTGGGAGACAGAGCAAGATTCCATCTCAAAAACAAGCAAAAAAAAAAAAAAAAAAAAGAAATTAAAGTTTCTATCTCCCACCCTAGATAATACATTTTAATAACTCATTAATTCTTACATGTAAGGAGGAGGCAGTTTGGATTCATTAACTAAAAACAATATTCTTTTTATTTACCCATCTAAAATAATAATATGTACCAGCCTACCTTCTATGGTTAGACCGCTTTCGAATTTCCTCTTGAAAGCTGCATAATTCTTCACTAACCTTCGCAAGTTCTTCAAGAGCCTTTACACATATAAGCAACAGCCCGTTAGCACTTTGAAATGTAAATATTTCTTTAGAAACAGTTCTAGGCCAATCACATCTTACTTACTGTATTGAGGGCGCCAGAACAGCTCTTACTCTCTTCCTCAGAAGTCCTCAGGACAGGCCAGGCCTCACATTCCTTTTGGTTGTCTGTAGCCAGAGGATCCAAAAACCCTACTTCTGATTTTTTTGTTGCTTTTTGTTCCTTACACATTTGATTTCCTCCACTGACTAAGCTCTGCTCTGTTTTATTTTCTTTTCTCAGACCATCTTCGTGATTTGTCCTTATAAATTCACATTGTCCTAAATCGGAGTAATTTGGGGAAGATTCTATCATTTTGTCTGGAATGGTCTTCTCATGGTAAAGATCAATGATCTTAGCACGTTCATTCATATTGATTTCCCTCCGAAGCTTTACTTCCTGGCAAAGCTGTAAGAAAAAGAAAACAAAATTAAAACTTCTTTTCCCTTAATTCACTTTGTTAATATTCTTGATACTAAGCAAACCACTTTGAGTTCTCTTTGCCATATTAAAATATACTTCCTAGGTATTAATGCTTCGGCCTCTAAATAGTGCCTCTAAAATATGGATTAGCTGGAACAAGTTTGATGAAACATAAAGGCTACTTTTATTAGGGCAACACATGGATGCTAATTCTTTCTGACTAGCAATCAATCATTCAAAAAATGAAACAAATCTGTATTTGTATATAAATACAGAAACACTGTCACAAAATTAGAATGACCTGAATCAACTACTGGCCATACTATATAATTGCTTTCAGAGAAAAGCAAGAATTTAACATTCAAGCCATAGTTTCCAAACGTCTGGTCCCACTTGTACACTAACATTTAATTGTCTAAATGCTTGACAATCTCATATAGTAAGTCAACTTACTCTGTTCCTTAAATAGTCACTTGTCAGTCAAAAGATGTTTCCTTTGGTTGGTCAATTACATTGGTGAGGGTTAGACATTACTGAGATTTTAAAAAAATGTCAAGGTGATACACATTTTTAAAAAGTTTCTCATCCAGATTAAAACAAATATGACAAAACCCTACGTGATATAATAGAACTGCAAGGCTTTGATCATCTATTAGTCTGTATTAAAGCAGAACCCAGATGACTTCTTTATGAGATCTTAGTTAAACCTGCACACACTCATTCAGTTCACTTCTGAACAGAGGAAAGAAATGGCTTTCTCTTTAGGCTCGAGTCATGTAAAAGCTTGTCAAACTTCAAAAGACTGTCAGATGACTATCAAAGCAAATGACTCTATATTTAACAGCCACAATCAATATCTACACTACATGTATTATTCAAGTAATATAACAGATTTATTGCTGCTTAATAAATACCAGTAACTCAGTTGAGAGAAGCACTAGAGTTGATGCCTGAAATATATACGGTGCATTTATTTTTCTTATGCTTATAAATTTATTAGTATTTATTGTATGAAATCAGGATAGCATCAAACTGCAGCCATGAATCGATTGTTTGGTCCCTGCCAAATTATTTGTACTGAACTTCTGTGGGCATTATGGTTTGAGCTGACCTTGAGGGTTATAAGAAGCCACCCTAAAAAGTACTTTTTTTTTTTTTTTTTTGAGACGGAGTCTCACTCTGTCGCCCAGGCTGGAGTGCAGTGGCCGGATCTCAGCTCACTGCAAGCTCCGCCTCCCGGGTTGACGCCATTCTCCTGCCTCAGCCTCCCCAGTAGCTGGGACTACAGGCGCCCGCCACCTCGCCCGGCTAGTTTTTTGTATTTTTTAGTAGAGACGGGGTTTCACCAGGTTAGCCAGGATGGTCTCGATCTCCTGACCTTGTGATCTGCCCGTCTCGGCCTCCCAAAGTGCTGGGATTACAGGCTTGAGCCACTGCGCCCGGGCTAAAAAGTGACATGTTAAATTTAAGGATGTTGTTGGTGAAACTGTCCTGTTTTTGAGAAGTCATGAGTAAAAACAAAATTGCTTTAGTTGCAAAACCAGGGGAAAATGTGCTATTCCTGGGAAATAAGTTTGCCTTATCATTTGAATTTGAAAGTATATGTACCTGATAATTTTTGTTAGTTACTAGAAAGACTCACTGGTACATTTCATATACGATCCTTCCTCCTGTCTTCAGCTCATCTTTCTATTTTTGTTTTTGCATATTTTATATTATACCTAATTTTATGCCATCTTAAATTTTCTTGCGGACTTATGTGAGGTATGAATAACCAAATAACAATGTTACTGATGGAAAACTATTTTGTACAAAAGTAATCTAAGTTACTTGGTACTCAGCCCTTGTCAATGGTTACCTGATTATTCTACCAACGGATACAGGCAGGAGACTACAGTGTGGGGAAAAAAAAAAAAAAAAAAAATCCCAGATGTCTATAAGTTCTATCCAGAATTTCTATCTGGATTATTTCAAATTATTTCAAGTATGAACATTTTGGTTTTGCCATAGCAAATGCAATGACTGTGGATAGTGGCTGAACAGTGAACTATGAGCATTTTAATAGCCAATACTGTATCCTCTCATTAGATATTAAAATCACTGAAGATATATGTGCATACCTGGGAATCTACAAATCTCTAGTACATGACTTAATAATTTACATCTGATTTAACATATAGAACTTTGTGATAAATGTTAAACAAATACAGTCTTTTATGCTTGCGGTATGAGATTATTTTTCCAAGTGTTGATTTCTTAATTTTAGTTTAAAAAATTATCTTGATTCTCTGTGACATGTGAAGAAACTTTCCTCTTGTTTTCCTTGATCTTTCTACCCCAGCTTTGAAGCCTGTAAGAAGGTACCTTTGATACATGTTTGGCATATATATTAGTAAGGGTAGCACAGTGCTGGTATTCAAGTCTTTATTGAAAAGCATCATCTGTAGGCATTAGGGGTAAGCACATTATCTAAACAAATTCCCAGCTATGGAGCTGTATAGCACAGGCAGCAAAACATAAACAGCAGTACAGCTACTCTCCAAGATAAAAAAAAATGACAGCTTTTCTGTCTCCCTGATACGGAAAGAGATGTTATCTCTCTGAGGTATAATTTGATGTTTAAAACATATTTCGTGCCTGCTAATTGATAAGGCTAATATTTACCTTAGATGAACTCTATAGAATTGTCAGAATCATTATTGGACAGTAATAAATTTAATCAGACAGCAGTTTCTTTTAACTACATGGCTTTAAAAATTGGTAGACTAATCCTGCATCCCTTAGTTATTTTGCTTGGATGCTAGAATTGTCTGAGACTGTTACCAACTGAACTTCCCAAACATTTGGGAGGCAATGACCTAGGACTACGGGTCAGTTTCTGACTGAACTTGAGTTTTGAATTCTGATTTGACCAGGGAATCTCTTTGTTGATCCAATCTGAGTATGGGTAGAGGGGTTAAAGGAGCAAGTAGGACACATTTTCCAAACTATAGAGGGACAAGAAGTATATATTCTCCTATAATCCCTAATCATATACTACATGCCTGCCTTCTCAGCACTACTTTAGAGGAAGGGCTTAATAGTTACTTTTCTTCAGCTTTCTTCCTACTGTGCCAATTCATATTTTATTCACAGTCAATTACATGGCTGTTAATAAGAAACATGACAGAACTATAAACACATAAAGCACTTACTTTGCCTGCAAAAAAGGTCAAGAAGTCTTAAAGTAACAACTTTGGTAATGCGCATAAAACCATATAAAGTCAATACTATGTATGCTACCAAAAGAAAGCAAGATAAGCATAAATTATTTCCAGTTGGTGCAAAAGCTTGAATATACATCAATGCAAATGCTTGAAGGAAATATTTCAGGGTCAAAGGACTGAGGGAGGGTTAACGGAAACAAAATGACTGTGTCAGAGTCATGTTATTTTTCATAACCCCTTTTCCAATAAATATGCCACTAAATGTGCACACCTTAATATAATAAATCTCATGTCTACTGCCATTTTCTGTTTGATATATGATACTCCTTTTGATTATACTGAGCTATCTAACATGTAATTTCCTTTAATAGACATTACTCATAAATCTTCTTAGGAAAGATCTATGTTCTAATGCCCAATTATAATTTTACTAATCTATGTCCCACCAAGTATATCTTTCTTGCATTTTAGTCCTGGCCCTGGCATTTGAAAACTCATACAAAATACATACCTCACTTTTGATAAAAAAGCTCTCTCATCAGAAAATAATAAGTTGAAACATTTTAGAGTGACATTTCAAATGCTTAATTTTCATGCAGTGATATAAAATAATCCTTACAATGCCACTGGATAAGATTATGCTATTTTTGTTCTAGTAAATATCACTGAGAAATGCACCTCTTAGGTGGAATAAGGAAAACAAAAGAGTTTCCAATGCAAAACAGTCAACAGAATTTTCATCCTGCACTTAAACATTACAGTACATCCACAACAAATTAAAGTGTACCTCTTCTATTTTCTTCTGCATAATCTTCCATTGACTTTCCCATTCCTTTCTTTCATTGTCAAATTGGTCCAGTAATTCCATCTTTTCCTTATGCCAGTTAGTCTCTGTGTTCTCCCACTGCTTATGTAGGTCCATGGCAACAGTGTAAGTGTCGGTGAAGAAGTGTTTCTGCTCTTCTCTGCCTCCTCTTAACCGTTTCTTGGAAGCTTGAAGTTGTTTTATTTGAAGCAGTCTCACTTGCCTTTAAAATAAAGCCTAATATAAACATAACAAGAGAGAGTTCCAAATCCATGTGCTTTCTGGAAATATATTTATCATTTTGTCGAGCCATTCACATAAACAAACTATAGGAAAATTGGACTCAAAAGAAAAGAGATGACAACAGTCTACTTAAGAAGAAACTAACACAGTCAATAAAGTAAAAAGTATTGTCCAAAGTTTTTTCCCCTTTCTGAGACCAGACAGCAAAATTATAGTGGACAAGATGATTAAATGCACATGTGAGATATAATCATCCCTTTAACCACTTACTCTAAAAGTAGATTTTTTCATGAATATCTAAGAGTGGAAGTATATAATTCAAATGTATGGTCACTTCTACAGACTGTGACAGATTCTGCTGCAATAAAATTATTCTTTCTGTTCTGATGCAACCATACTCTTATGACTTAAATTCCTGAAACAGAGCTTGGTTGCAGTCTTAATTCTATGTTCAGAGATCAAGCCTGTGCCAAATGTCATTACTGTGTTACTTATTAAGACCCCAAAGTTGGTAGTCAACTTGGGACTGATTTATCATCCAGAAACTAATCTAAATTATAAAAAATATATTCATTATGTCACTTCATCAAGGAAAATCTAGAAGCATCAAAACTATCCTGTGAAATATATGTTAAAATTTATCCATGCTCTCTTTTCCTTTGAATAGACTATATACTATAAACTGCTTAGGATATCGAATACAGAGAATTGAAGAAAACATTTTGCTTGGTTTTCAGGGAATCCTCTATTACATTAAGTAGTGACTGAAATAATTAATTTTCTAGCCTTCAGGGATGTGTATTTAAGGTTTGAAGTCACAATTTAAAATACCAGCTATGTAACTCTGGTATAAGTCTAAAATTTCTGAGATTTAGTTTTTTGCATTAAAATGGGGATAGTCATAGAACTGTTAAAAAGATTAAATGGCATACTGAATGCAGAGTAGTTTGAGAAATTTAAGAAAGTTTTCTATTTTTTGCTTTACAAAATTTCATTTTGACTTCAATTAAAAATACTTTTGTATTAAATAAGTCATGTGCCTTTTTAGGAGGTAGAAAAACATGTTTAAAATGTTTGAATCTCTGTTTAAGACAATTGTGCCTATAAGATGTTAACTCTTCAGTCACTAGGCCATTATCAAAATGCTATAACTTACTGGTGGCAGCTAATGCTAATTATGGACAAAGATCCCAACAATCAATAGCTTTGTGGGTGCTGGCATTACCAAATTAAGCCCACATACCCAAGCAGCAAGCGCCAATTTTGTATTCACAGAAGATAACTGCATATTTCATATCCTAAAAGTAAGATAAATATCGAAGACTAATTTTATTTTTGTCAGACTGTTGTGAACATACATATCTGAGTGGTAAACAGTTTTGAACATAGATTTTTTGAGTCACAATCAATGAATTAGAATAGAATAAGAATAAAAAATGTTAGCTATACATGCAGGGTTCTGCCTTCAAAACACCCTAATAATTTAAGGATCTATATTGTTACTCTACTCTCAAACTATTTACTAAAGATACTTTGATAATTTTTTCCTATGTCTTTGGCAATAGTACTATTATGATTAATTCAGTCAAGAAAAATACATAATTTTAGATCCAGCTATTAAAGGTGCTATCATGTCTCACTTGTCTTGAAACTAGCAGACTGCTTTAAAACTATATGTAATTAACTGTGTGGTGAAACTACCTTGCTGACTAGAAAGTATTTGCCACTGTAATTTCTTAGGAAGAATGGTGTGGACTGAGATAATAAGACATAACTGCAGATTTAACCAAAGAAGCTAAAAAAGGATGCAGACTAATTTCAAGCTACCTGGAAAAGAGGAGCTATGATAAATCCATGTTTTATCCCAACTGTCTTTAAACACTGGAAATGTTCCGAAATCACCATAAAGTCTTTTCTACAATTATGTAGCAAATGGCTCCAATTTTTCCTTCTATTCCTAACTCTTCTCGAATCGTTTCCACACTACTGTTGAAAGATGCCAGGCCTTTCTCTTTTTAACCTACCAGAAGATCATTCAGGAATACCCTAAATCAGTCTTGCTCTTGATAACAAGACTATATGTAAACCCAGGTAACAGTCCTGAAGCAGAATGAATCCTGCACCTATCTGCAAAGAGCCAAACTGATCGCTTAATATGGAGAAGGGCCAATGTATGGAGCTTTTCCTTTCCAGGCCCAGAGCACTTGCTAGTGCCAAAATATGTAATAGTTATGGATCAGAAACAAGTCTTTACAAGAACATTTCTATAGAGCAATATCTGTGCCAATTTTTTGTGGAAGGATTTGGCCTCCTTAGCATCTCAGTCTTGTCATAAATATAATGTTAGATGTTAACGTAGCCAAACATATTGCTTCCACCTCTAAATATAAAGGGGGAGGGGCATAAAATTATTTTGGAGATTAAGTGAGCAAAAGGGAAAAATGCTTAAAAGAAGTGCCTAAACCCTGCTCTGGATCATAGCAAATGCCTGATAAATACTTGCTTCTTGTTTTCTTCCTTCTGTCCCTTGTTCCCTCCCTTCCTCTCCTTGTCTTTCCTCCCTCCTTCCCTTTCTCCTCTCTTTTCTTCATCTATCCCTCTCCCTGTTGTTCTCTGGAAAAAAAAAACCTGATTATTTTGATCTTTATTTAAAAACGAGATAGAAGCAAGTATAATTGTGTGAACTCTCATATTCTCCATGATCTTCTTTTGCCTTTTTCCAAGTATTTTAAAGATACATGTCAAGTATTTAAAGAAAAAGTTTTATTGTTAGTAAAAATGTGAACAAATCTTATGTAAAACTGCTTTTGTTATAAATCTGACTTAAATATTACAAAAAAAAATCAAACTGAAGGGGCAACTTTGTAGAGACAGAATGTTTCGTAATGAGAAGTTATGGGGTAAAGTGGTTCAGCAGATTCAAAAACTCAATTTAAGTGCTCTCTACTGGGGCAAAAATAAAAGTTCTTTTTGTTCCTAGTTGTCATTCATTTTCTCCCACAGATACTGGCATCTATGTGGGAGAGAAGGAAGGATTTCTGCTGTCTGTGTCCCCTACCCCATATCTCTTTCGCTCTCCAGTTTATGTTGTTCCTTCTAGAATTCCATTTCAGAATAAAAATTTATTAGAGCAAATGTAAGAGGACAGAGTGAGCTGCAGTACTTAGTCACACACCCCAACTCTAAACCAGCATTGCATAATCCCTTTTAACTTACTTCCCCTTTCCAGGGCTGAAAGCCAGAATTATAAAGAGTTGTGAGTGGGTTGCATAAGTATGGTGATGGGAGGCAAATAGTTTTGCTAGCCTTCCGGCCCTACCAGTAAGCAAAGTTTAAGAGTAACATACAAGTCTCACAAGAAATTTTCATCCCCCAGATTAGCCTCCGTCTGGTCATGGCAGCAATTCTTTCTCCGAGGGGTGCTCCATTCTTAGGAGACCTTGGTCACTACCCTTTCAACCTCCACCTTGCCCATTGAAAACTGGATTGCAGCCAAACAAACCAAACAGCGTTTCTTAGGGGCAGCTGCTCCATTTCTACTTCTCTCTTTTTAGATTATTGTTTAGAGTACTTGTTTCTTGCTCTCCTTATTTCCTTTTGCTAAACATATCACTTTTCATATAATTAAAGATTTTTCATTTATAAGAGGTTACATATTCCAATAGAAATGCCACACACAGTAGGTACTGCTAATCTCACAATTCCCCTAGAAGACTCATTTGGCCTGAAGATGCTTTGCTTCTGATTAACTTTGATGGACTAGGAATTCCCATGCTTATAACCTATCAGAGTAATGTACCATTTACCTCCTAAATTCTCTATCCCTTTCTCCAGGCTATTATAATCACTTGAATTATTTCAATGAATTAATAAATCTCATTCCTCTCTATTGTTCACTTGCAATTGAATCTTTCCGAAGACCACCGTGATTTGACTGTTACAGGGTAAAAGGGAAATTTTTTTCATTGCTGTTTATTGCCGTTTTAGCACATTCCTCATGCTCCAACAAGGTCAAAGAGACACTACCACAATTCCGAATGAATCAACTTTACAGTCTCATTTAATAATCTTCTTTCTTGTTTTCTTTACAGTTATTTACTCAAATTAGAAAACATCCAAGCTGTATGCACACTGATTTTACTTAACTTATAAAATGCAACCTTTAAAGCAAACATTTGGTTTGAGTAAACAATGTCTAAAACTAACCATCGTGAACAAAAGACATAGTGGTAAGTTTCCCTCCTAACTGTAGATTATTCAATTATGAATGGCATAGACTTCAGCTCAAATTACAGAAACACTAACTCTACAGAGAGTCCACCACCACCTTAGATAAAACTAAAATATGTTTTTCACCACAATTTTCAAATACCAACAATCTCAAGGATTGTGAACTTTAATTTGCAAATGTTAAAAGTCTTTATATGAATAAAAAAATCACATTTGAATAAATATGCTTAGTGAAAATCAATGATGGGCAAAGTGCTTTTCAAACAACTGAGAAGCAGTGTTGGAAAAACAGTCTCAAAGAGCGGATGGTACCGTCAGTCCAGAGTTGGGAAATCTACCCTGAGCAGCTGAACAGCCTTTTTCCTAGGAGTCAGTACAATCTGTTAGGCACCCCGCCCACTGTTTTTAAGCCCAGACACAGACAACAGCAGAGACAGATGTTGAAATTACACTCCACTTAAACAGTATCCATAGTTCAAAACATCTCACCAGCAGCCCCTCTGTAGCCTGCCCTAATTAGTCACTTGCTTGTAAACTTGCCGGAAAGAAACATACCTTTCACACTGGGGAGAAATCCTATGGATGCTCGACCACTGGTCAATCTAGCAATGGAAGGAAGTGGATGGCTAGCTGTCTTAAAGAGAAAAGTCTCAACTCGGTGAATCTCAATTCTTTACAAGAAAAGGGGATGCAAAATAAGTCCAACCATTCCACAGAGCAGTACTGACAAGTCCCTTTGAAACCTTCACCACTTTTACAAGTCA